TGTTAAACGGCGAATAAAACGTAATGGTGGTATTCCCCCATTACTGTTACACACAAATTCAGATTTACTAGGTGAATCAGATCGGGCAAAAGCTGAGACATTTTCAAACTATTTTAGCGGAGTCTACTCTACATGTATTGTTACAAATACTTGTCCCAATCACACTGAGATATCATCCATGGGATATGTACATGTGACTGAGGAAACTGCTCCAATGATAACTAACCTCAAACCTTATAAGATACCAGGACCTGACGGGTTACATCCACGACTGCTGTCATTTGTTTTGGGCATTATTTCAAGACGTCCCCTTCACTAGCTCAACTCCCTAGAGACTGAAAAGACGCTATATTCAGTCCTATATTTAAGGATGGTCAGAGACAGATCGCATCTAACTACCAGCCTGTCAGTTTAACCAGCATAGTCGTTAAGTCAATTGAAAAGATAATTCGGGTTAAGTTACTAAGTCAAATAGATTCGCACAATCCGCTAACTCCCGAGCAAAATTATTATTTATTTATTTATTTAAACACATAAATATTGGTATAAGGGGGCACCAAATATATATGCGCCATACAAAACAATGAGAATTTAAAGAGAAGGGGAAAAAAGGTAAGGAATGTAGGAAATATATGTAAAAAAAAAGAACAAAAATAAGGGAAACGAAAAGGTACAATCGGAAGTAATCTTACAGTTAAGGAAGAAGCAACCACTCTTTACGAAGAAAGTAATAGAAGGTTACAGCAGGATCGCCACTGGCTTCTATTCTGAGCCATATCTGATAACGTCTCTAGCCACTGTGTTACACTATCTCTCGGACCCCAGCCAGGGAGTCGTGAAGGACCAACAGAAGCTAGCCCTTTGCAGCTTTCATACCACGATACCATGTCATATACTGACCACCTCTCTGCTTTTCCCAACCAGTCCCAGAGTCGGTAAATAATTCACGACGTGGAATTCTCTGAGACGACATTCGTAGAACATGTCCAAGCCACTGAAGTCGGTGTTTCAAGATGGTGACACCAATTGCATTATCGTCTCTGTGCCCGAACACACGATGCTGAACCTCTGCATTACTAACATGGTGTTGCCACTGAATGTCAGCAATCCTTCGGAGACAACGATGATCAAACACAGAGAGTCGTCTAACATCCTCAACTCGGAGAGGTCAGGTTTCACAAGCATAGAGCAAAACTGCTCTCACCGTCGCGTTGTAGATCCGACCTTTTACAGCCAGACTAACATCACGAAGGCTCCAAAGATGGCCCAGATTGGCATAAGCCGCTCTGGCTTTCACTATACGTGCATTGATCTCATCACTCACACCACCACCAGCACTTATACAGCTACCCAGATACACGAACTTCTCGACTACTTCTATCTGCTCACCATCCAGAGTGAGTACAGGATTAGAATCCTGCCAGTCTTGTAGAAGTACTTTGCACTTCGAAGGTGCAAAGCACATACCGTACCTACGGACACTGATTGTCAACTGATTAAGTGCGGATTGCATGGCTTGGGCATTCTCGCACAGTAAGACAATATCATCCGCATACTCAAGGTCGAGAGGTTTTTCTCCAGGCAACAGATCCACACCACCATTACTTACATCCATCAGAGCTGTTTCCAGAATGTCATCGATGGCAAAGTTGAAGAGGAATGGTGATATTGGGCAACCCTGCCTAACCCCACTGCTCGAATGAAATAATGGAGAAAGGTGGTTGTATGCCCTCACTCTGTCTGAGGTGTTTGTGTATAGGGCTTTTAGGATGTTAATAAACTTCTCAGGCACACCCTTCTTCAATAGACAATCCCAGAGAACAGTCCTATCCAACGAATCGAAGGCAGCCCTGATGTCAAGAAACACTACGATTGTTGGCCTTTGATAAGTATGGCGGTGTTCTAACATTTGGCGGAGGGTGAAGATATGATCAATACATCCTCGACCAGAACGAAACCCAGCCTGCTCCTCGCGAGTCAATCTTTCTCGGGTTTTGAACAACCTACGAAGTATGAAGAAGTCAATAGCTTGGACGCAATCGGAAGTAGACTTCTCGGTCCTTACACAAGCTTTGCCCAATTTCAGTATGTAACATTCTTCGTTTGTGGTCATACTCACGGTCACCCGGAGTAGACCGACGGGCTTCAATCAGTTGTAAGGAACCAGAAGAAACCCAGTGCTTATAAGAGGGACGTTTCGCGAACCCACAACAGAGTTTACCCGCCATTTTCATGGCGTCATGCAATTGCAACCAATGCTCATCTATATTTTTTGTGGAATGGTAGCTAGCCTAGAAGCTAGCTCGGTTCGGTACTTACTAGCAACAGAAGTTGCAACCAGCTTGCCAACATCAATCATTTGGTGGCGGTCATTTCGTTGTCCACTGAAAAGTAAGGTAAGATTGGCGCAGACCAGAGCATGGTCAGATTCCAGATAGGTACTCCGAAATGAGCGGCAGTCTTGTACACAACCACGCCAGCGGTAGCTGATCGCGATGTGATCAATCTGAGTTCAGGCTTGAGATGCAGAGGGAGGACGCCAGGTGGCACATCAGCGATGACTGTGCCGAAAGTTAGTGCTAGCCAGAAACAGGTTGTGGTCTGTGCATAGCTGCAGTAGACGTTCCCCGTTATCTGTCCTGAGACCAACAAGTCCCCATCGGCCACCTAAACGACTCTCTTCTGTGCCTAGACGCCCGACCTGAGCATTCAAGTCTCCGGCTAGTACTACAATATCTGTCGAACACACTTTCTGGAGAAGAACAGATAACTGGTGGTAGAATTCATCCGAGCAACATGGGTTTCGTTACAAGCGTTCAGGCTCAACTAACTTATCGCGAGAGAGAATTGGACAGCATCCTTAGATAACGGTCTGTCTGTCTATGTGATATTCATAGATTTTAGCAAAGCCTTTAACAAAGTTTCACACTTAGGTCTTATACAGAAGCTCTCGAGCTTCGGAATAACAGGTGCTATACAGGAATGGATGAGAAACTTTGTATGTGACCGCAGACAGAGAGTGAGGGTCAATGAAACGCTATCTGAATGGAAGCCAGTCAAAAGTGGTCTACCACAAGGCACCATCTTAGGCCCCCAACTTTTCCTTCCCTACGCTAATGAATCACCGCTGTTGCTCAAGTTGTCGACATTGTTGTTTGCGGATGATGTCAAAATCTGGGGAACAATAAGAAGTGAGGCTGGTCATTTTGATCTCCAAGCTGACTTAGACGAATTAGTTAGACGAGCTCAGTGTTGATTCTTAGAAGTTAATTCTAGGAAGAGTGTGCTCACGCACATCGGACACGGTAATAGTTACTATTATACTATTGATAGAACATCTTCCACGAGTTCAAGAACATAATAATAACATAATAAGTCATGACTTGAAAACAACTACGCACTGCAACGCAGCTACTGCCAAAGGTTTTCGTGCGTTATGGTCACTTCGCTGAGCATTCAAATGCTTTGACGAGGAAATGTTTCGAATTTTATATCCCACCTATGTGCCCCCAAATGCCCTGGTACGGCCGAGAGTGGGGAGAGTCCACTCTCCCTCTCGAAATGCTCTCACATGGCCACGCGTATATAGCCTCTGCCAGGGAAGTCCTACTCACTGCCTTCTCGCACCACGGGTGTTGTTTACGAAAATGAGAGGACGAAAAGCGAATGTCCGGCGCTTTAACCGGACCCCAAACCAATGGTGCACATGGGCTCCAGTATCCTGAAGGGACAAATGGCGTATGAACCAATCGTTGGTCACCGGCTACCATGGGACTGCATCTCCTCACGATGCTCAACTGCCTGGTGGGTCAGACGTTCAGGTCGAAGGCTCGGAGTGTAGCCCCCTAAGAAAACCACCTGCTTCGGTTTGGGCACCCGGGCAGTATCACAGCCCTCACACAAATCAATTGAGATTCGTGTGGCGTATATGTACTTGGTGCCTCCCTGTACCTATACTTATGGGCTAAAATAAATAGATAAATAAATAATCCCACCTATGTAAGATCACACTTAGGGTACTGTATCCAAGCTGCTAGCCCATGTCTGATAAAGGATACTAACTCACTTGAGCGTGTTCAACGTGTTGGGACAAAATGAGTGATCTTTTTAAGCTCCCTTATACTGAGCGTTAAAAACGCCTAAACCTCTTCCCCTTGTCTTATCGCAGGACTTGAGGTGACCTTATACTGGCATTCGTATCTTTAATTATGATTTGGGTGTTAATGTCTTATCTTTTTTCTCCCTCTAGCACTAATAATATCCGAGGTCATAGCAAGGAGGTTCACAAACTGTGATCTAATGAACTCAAAGTGTGATCCCGTTTTTATCATCGAGTAGTCAATGACAGGAACGCCTTACCTGAACAAGTGGTATCAGCCCCATCAGTGAATATTCTCAAGGAAAAGCTGGACCTTCATTGGAAGTCAATCTGTCAGGATTGACAAAGACTCACTAACGTACTATCCTTATTACTGACGACTGACTGAGACACAATACACACAGAAACCAAGCGAAGTACGTATTAATCAATTGGTTCAAATGGTTGTGCACGGAATATAAGAAGCTTTCGCTTAACGGGCTTCTGTGTCTAGTAGCAGTAGATCATTAATACCTCCAGGTAGGGACCTAGGTATATTAGCGATAGCAGAGGAAAAAGAAATTGGTAAATCATAGTAAGACATTATCTTTAGTCTTTAAGAATACGTCAAGTTGCCTCTTAAAGGACTCTTCCTCCCCTTGCCTTAATACTAAAGTCTCAATTGATTACTGCCAGTACAAGAGATTTTCAAGAATACTGTAGAAGACTTATAACTCCCAAAGGATTTTCAGTCACAGCGACCCATCCAAATAGTGCACTTCGCTTGCTATCAGTTATGAGTCTCTGAAGAGGACGCTTGCTTCTTAATAACTGTGGTTTAAAAGGGTTTTTATTTGAATAACGTTGATGTGAATGGATACTAAGTGGTACGAATCACCACTGAGAAAAAACCTAGGCTAACCTTGTTATTCCAAAGCACCAGTACAGTAAGAATTCAAAAATAACTACATTATAACCTGGACCTTGAGAATGTTAGAAGGTCATCAAGTGGATCCAATTGTTCAAATTGTTTTGAATAGAATAAAAAGAAGCTTTCGCTTAACGGGCTTCCGTGTCTAGTAGCAGTAGATCACCAATACCTCCAGGTAAGAACCTAGATTTATTAACGACAACAGAGCAAAAGAAATTGGTAAATCATAGTAAGATACTATCCTCAGTCCATAAGTATAGATCAAGTCGCCTCTTAAAGGACTCTTGAGAAGTTGCTTAGACTAGCTCGGCCGGGATAGAATTCCAGCGTTTGACAACTCTTAAGGAGTAAACGTTGTGCCTGCAGTCCGTTCTACTATGTTGTATCTCTAATTTCTGGGTGTTACCCCTTAGGTTAGTGTTGTGACTAAGCTTAAGTGTAGGTGTTTAAGAGGATGTCCAGAAGTGTTAAGGATACTGTAAGCCATTAGAAGGTCACCTCTAAGACGCCTGTACCCTAATGGGTAAAGGTTTAGTGACTAGAGGCTTGGATTTAAGTCCGCGAACTGATTCCGTGGCTCATTATTGGTTACGCTCTAGAGTGTCCTTATCTTTTTTGAGTAAGGGAGGATATACTATGTTTCCGTACTCTAAATGGGGACGGATAAAACTGTTGAAGATTATGTGGAAAGTTCTTCCGTCAAACTGACCAAGAATGCACTTCAATGTTACCAGTGCAAGGTTCGCTCGAAAAGCATTTCTGTCACAGTTAAAATAAGATTCCAAATCGTAGGGTACCAGCACTCCTAAATCTTTTTTCAACTTGGAGTACTTCTAGAGACGAGTTTCTTACGTTGTAACTTTAGCCCGCAACATGTCTCAGATGAACTATTTTACACTTTGAAGTGTTAAAGGTAAGTCCGTTTGTCGTCTGCCCAACTTTGAAGTCGAGTCAGATCGTCCTGAAGTGCCAGTGTATCCTCTTGGATGAGTATCTCTCTAGTGTCACATCGTCGGCAAAGGTAATGAGCCCGACGACACTTGTTGTGAAAGATCGTTTATATTGATCAAGAACTGAAGAGGTCCTAGTACTGAACCATGGGAGACCTCACTAGGACATCCCATAGCCTGAGAGAAAGTGAGGTTAACCCTGATCTTTAAATGTCGATTTTTTTGGAAATGAAGTGAGCCAATCAATTAAAGGTGATTTGATACCTAATCGTTTGGGCTCTTTGATAAGACATATATGGTTGATCCCATCAAATACTTTTAAGAAGTCAAGGTAAATGACGTCGACTTTCCCCTTGCGATCAAGGATGGTTGTCCATCTGTCCACCTCGATCAGCGGGTTGATTATACAAGAATGACACTTCCTGAAACCATGCTGTTGAGGTGGAAATAAGTTTAAGGATAATAAGTAATCATGTGTGCCGTCGCATACCAGGGACTCCATAATTTTTGAAAGTAAAGAGAGAATAGCTCGAAAGTTCGCTGCGTTGACCTCCTTTAAAAATTGGTGTGATGTGAGCCAGCTTTCAGATTTCCGGTATGTGCCTCGGCTTAGCTAGTGTGAGAACTCCACGCTAAACTCTAAGCTCCAAACCTTTCTGGACAGGAACATTGACTTGATTGTTCTTCATGAACTTCACCTGGATAGGAAGATAATGTTCTCTGTTATGGAAAGGTATATCTCATTCTTCGTTTCTTCAGAAACTGAAGAGCAAAAATATTAGTTATTAAGGGGAAAAACTAACAGTCGATCGGTTCACACATGTTAATCTTTGAAGTTGATTTTTTATTTGGGATCCACTATTCCGTTGGAACTGTTTACTGATCTAGTGAGCATTGCTTGTTTTTGTGAGGCATTCCAACAGTCAACTATTCGGTGAGATAAACTTCATATCATAAAATAGGAAATGACAATTACACTGTATCAAGCCATAATTGGCTGTGAATATGAGGGGCTGTAACTAATAAATTGGTAATAACTTAAGAATAGTAAGTCGTATAATGGTGTCTGATTAATCAAATGTAAGCTTACAACCAGAAAAACATAAATATACATAATTTGGTTACTCAATAGTTATAAAGTAAGAATATACATATAATAACAGTCCATAAATGATTCCTATCAGTAACCATCCATTTATTTAACACTCCTGAAGAACACGTTTTGGCTTGGTACAGAACAATAAATTTAGTGTGGATAGGGATTGGTTACACAGATTGACCACGACTCTGGTTCCCTGCAGAAAAATTTGGCTTTTTCGTGCGAAAGGTACACCACCTTGGGTTTGTAGTCGGTCAAGATGCTAAACGACCAGGCCCAGAAAATACTCAGGCAGTAATGGCTATGCCTGTACCGATGGATGTCTCCACACAGTGAGACTAGTTAGCCATCATGTAGCCTTTCTACCAAACCTTCATCGCTTACGTGCCCCATTAAAGAGTCTTCTGATGAGGAATATAAAATGGGATTGGTCTACAAATTGTCAAGCTGCTTTTGAGAAAATCAAAAACCACTGATTTCAGACCTGTTACTTACTCATCACGATCCATCTTTACCTATTTTAGCAGCATCAGACTATTTGCAATATGACAAGACATTAAGAAAAGTTAGGAGTTGTCTTCGCATCAAATGACTCAACCCTCAAGTTGAAAGAAAATTGCCATAATAATTGCTTCGACGGGACTCACTCATAACTGTCGGTTCGTGTATTACGTTTCGTGACATCCTTTCTTAATTCTCTCCGCCTCGACAGTCTTTCTATGGGGTCCTTAACTGTTGAGAGCGATAATTCGCATATGCTGAGATCACCAGGTAAGTAATAGTGAGGTTAGACGTAGGATATTATGAAATGATGGTAAATCAGTTGGTGAGGTTATAAATCTTCAGCGACTGAGATGGTTGGGTCACGCGTTGTGTGTGTCTGAACACCGATTACTACGACGCGCAATGTTGGCTAGTGTTGGGGATGGTTGGAAGAAAGTCAGGGCCGGCCAAACCAATACGTGGCTTCAGTGCTTGAAGTCACTAACTTCTAGTCTGAGCCATGTTGGTAGATGCAAGCTACTTGATTGTTGTCTGCGCGACTATCGTAACCAATGGCTGGAGACTGTGTGACATGGCTTAGAATCGATCACAATGGCGTAGGTGTATACACTCTTTGTCTTCCTTTAAACTATGAGATTAAAATCGCTCTATACCTTTATTGCTACGAACTTATTCTTTTTTCCTGCACTATATCCTTATGCGCCTGTTCCTACGTCGTAGCGATAATACACATTATATTTGTCATATTTGAAAAGAGAGTAATAATAATAGAATAACAATAATAAATCAGTTTCTGTGTAATTGAAAAGCATGTTGAATTAAGTTTATAGAAGGAAAGGAAGAAAAATGAGGGAATAGAAATAAGGGAGACGTACAGTATTCAAATAGTTTAATAGACATGTTTATGAACACAGAGCAGGAGTAAACGACTATGTAACGACAAATTAGTAGATAAAACGAAAAAATAAAAAATAATCGAGAAAAAACAACTTATTATTCCAGTAAGATATGACGCTAGAATAAATGGTTATGCAGTCATAGCTTGGAGTGATGCTCTGAAATTCTCAATTGAGTGAAAAAGATAACGAAGTATCAATATGTATGAGACAATCGCATTGTGAATTATTTGGTAGGATGTTATAAGTTGATTCTTACTAGTTGTTGTCATTATGATGTAACGTGGTCATAGCCTCCACGTAAACGAATCTATTAATAAAGAACGATGAATCGTAATGCGCAACAGGAGAAAGTCCTGCAGAAGTTGCAGAAAACCCTGCAATTTTCCCAATTCAGAATCTATCGACACAAAAAACTATTCGAAGAACTTCTAAGCCGGCACGCGTTAACGGCAGCCGTAGCCGGCTAACATAGCCGTCTGCTATACGTCACTGACGCGATAACGAGAATTCGGTACCTCGTCGATACTGACGCAGAAGTTAGCGATCTTCCAGAAAATTCCAACGACCGGCTTCACGAATCGGTTTTAAATCTACAGGCAGCAAACGGAAAGCCTATCGCTACGTATGGCAAAGGCTACGTTTACCTCAACGTGGGTTTGCGAAAACCCATTCACTGGATCTTTGTTGTTGAAGATGTTTCCATGCCAGTCATTGGTATGGATCTTCTACAACACCACAACTTAATTATCGATACGCGCAAAAGGAGGTTAGTAGACGGAAACACTAATTTATCTGTTTGCCTGACTTCTTTTTCTGGTTGCAGGTTATCTCCAGTCACTATTAAGCACACGATAGACCCCTTCTACCAACCACTACTCGATAAGTATTCTGGCATTTACCAATCGCAACCGAAATTGACGTGTGTAACCAGCAACGTTACACAACACATCATGACTACAGGACCACCTGTATTCTCTAAAGCACGCCGACTGGCCCCCGAAAAGTTAAGGTTGGCGAAAAACGAATTCGACCATATGATAAACTTAGGAATCATACGACCGTCAAATAGCCCATGGGCATCTCCGTTGCACATGGTCCCTAAAACGGACAGCAACGATTGGCGTCCAACTGGTGACTATCGGAGATTGAATGCAAAAGCGATTCATGATCGTTACCCGTTGCCTCACATTCACGATTTGACAGCTACCTTGAAAGGTGCAACTGTCTTTTCGAAAATCGACTCGGTAAAACTTACTTACGCCTGTTACTCCCAATGGAGCATAGGCCGCCGACCAGCATTCTCCTACCCACTCTGTCCTGGGCCTTCTTTTCTAGTTCCATCCAATTCTTGTTCATTTTTCTCATGTCTATCTCCATTTCTCGGCGTAATATGTTCTTTGGTCTTCCTCTCCTCCTTCGGCCTTGAGGATTCCATGTGAAGGCTTGTCTTGTGACGCAGTTCGGTGCTTTCCTCAATGTGTGTCCTATCCACTTCCAGCGTTTCTTCCTGATGTATTCGTCCACTGGGATCTGGTTTGTTCTCTCCCACAGTAGGTTGTTGTTGATAGTGTCTGGCCAACGGATCC